AGCACACACAGAGGGGGAGTGGGTGGGGCAGGGTAGGGCCTCTGCTGGTGGAAGGGGGCGCTGGCCCCCGGAAGCCTCTGACCTGACCGCAGAGCCCACAGCTGCCAGGGACGCCCGCGAGAACGGCTCGCCCTATGCCCGCGATACTCTCTCCCTCCGACGGGGCTCCTGGACACCCCCGCTCCCGTTTCTCCCCCCAGAAAGCAGGCGCAGGGGCTGGGGGGAGGCGTGATGGATGAACCGGCCGGTCCTTCCCCGTCAGAGCCCCACTCCCGGGCAGGCCGGGCGCAGATGGGACGGGAGGGCCATCTGGGGGAGAGCAGAGCGAGATGAAGAGAGCCGGCTGGCTCCCGCCGAGAGCCCTGGGGCACTGCGTGACCTGTGCGTCTAGGGCTCCATCTGTCCAGGCGGGGCAGGGCGCTGTCATCCCCAGGGGTCCACCAGCTGGCACCGGGAGGATGGGCCGTGCTCTTCGGCACTCTGCCTGGACAGCTTAGAGGCTTGGGGGGGTGGAAACAGAGCATCCCTTCATCTTGGTGTCTTCTTCCCTTGGTCGTACCCGGGGTGCAGTTACGGAGTTCAGCAGACGAGGACCCGAAACTTCAACCACATGAATGAACTCCGGTGTGTAAATCATGGTCTCGGGGCCTCAATTTCCTCCTCTGTAAAATGGGACCATAATCGTTTCCAGCTCTTAGGTGAGGGGGAGGCACAAAGGTGGGGGAGATGCTTCCCGGACTCCGTCCTTACTCGGTTCACTCGTCACAGAATCAGGCCTCTTACTCCAGGGGCACGCGGGAGAGGGGTTCTATCCAGGGTACCCCCGCTCCACTGCCTTCCCTGATGAGTGAGGTTTGCATGTTTCAGAGAGATAGAGACAGGGGGCGCCCCCCCCCGGAATAGACTTCAAAGACCCCCGGTGTTGTCCACCCCCATCCCTTTATTTTGTGTCCTGTGAATTCTGAGAAACGGCCTTTGGTTTGGAAATGGAGAACCACGTTTTTTGGGGGAGAATCAAGCCAACCTGGGAATGAAGTATCGGGGGGGCTGGTGGAGCTGGGCCCCGTGACTCACTGGGCTGGTAGGAACCCCGAGATGGGGGAAGGGGAACAGGCTCCTGTTCCCAATCCAGGCCCTGGCCAGGGGTGGAGGGGAACAGGGCTATGCAGAGGACAGAGGACAAAAACGACCGGCAGCCGAGACTCACAGCAGAAGCAGGGTGAGGCTGTTTGCCCCAGAACCAGCACACAATGGGGGTTCCTGGTGAGGATGGGCAGACAGCCACGCACGTGATGGGGTCCATTTCCTGTCCGCAGAGGTAGCTGGGCCCAGCCTTGTCATCCTCAATTCAGTTGCTGAGTTCCAGCAGTGGTGATCTGGGGGACCAGGCGGGGGAGGGGGGAGTCATGGCCCCTCTCACTTCCTGAGTCCTGGGTCTGGGTAGGGGAGGCAGCCCCTGGACTGGACCTCGGGACTTGTCTTCTCTGTTTTTCCTTTTCTGCGGGGGTAGGGGGTGGGGTCTCCATTGCTCAGTGGATCTGAGGCTCCACTGATAATTGTTCAACCAGCCAGGCTGGGGATTCCGTGCAGGGTCCAAGGCCACGATGCTGCTCAGGACTGTGCAGGGCTGGGGACCTCCACAGCTCTGCCTAGTGATCACAGGGAACCATGTGTCAGGAATCGAACCCAGGTCAGGCACAGGCAACGTCTGTGCCCTAACCCCTGGGTTATCAGGAGATAATCCTTGATTGTCCTGGGTAACAGAAAATCACTCTAACCCCACCCCTCACCCCCGTAAGGACTTGGGGGCAGCGGTGCTGACCTGCCTCCTGGGGCACAGAGACCCGTCCCGGGGCCTTGCCAAGATTCATCCTGTCCTCCAGTAAGAAGCAAGGCCATTCATTGACCCATCCCCCTCACCCTCTGGAGGGGGCTGGCCTCTGACCTTCCTCCCCACCACCCCCTTGCAGCTCCCCTAAGATGATTTGTGCGGACTTCTCGCTGAGAGTTGCAGGAATAGGTTAGCATCTCCATTTTGCTAAGCCTGGGTTTCTTTCTGTCACACGGGGCCCCGAGGCCACTTAGCAGGCAGCGAGGACAGGCTAGAATCGCGCGGGTAGACAAAGTGCTTCCTAGCAAAGCAAGTTTTGCTTCTAAGCCCTGGCTTTCTAACTGGGCGATGCCAGGAGAATCTCTTTCCTTGCCCAGCCTTGGTTTTTCCCAGTGGGGATGATGGTTCACCTCTACTTCCTGGGGGTGGTTCTAAGCGTTGGCTGAGCTCAACATGTGTGCAACCAAAAACTGTCCAATAGACACTGGGCAGGCGACTGAAGAACCTGCCAGGTGTGTCCTTTTAGACAGAATAGGAGCACAAACTCCAGGAGCCTCAGCAAGCTCTCAGGAGGGAGGTGCCTTCTTGTGCCTTCAATCCCCACCTCTACATGTCCCCAAGACTTACCCTTCCCCGAGAAGGCTTCCCTGATGCTGCTATGGAGTTATAGCCGTCCTTCCAGGAGGCCCCTGCCCTCCTGTCATCCTTTCCTTGTCTCCTCCAATCACTTGCTACCACCAACCAGCTGTGGGCTTATTTGCAGCTCAGTTCCCTAACATTAAACCCCACACGTAGTAGGAGTTCAGTAGGTGTTTACGAGACATTTGGAAGAATGCATGGATGGATGGATGGATGGAATGTTGGATGGATGGATGGATGGATGGAATGTTGGATGGATGGATGGATGGATGGAATGTTGGATGGATGGATGGATGGATGGAATGTTGGATGGATGGATGGAATGTTGGATGGATGGATGGATGGATGGATGGAATGTTGGATGGATGGATGGAATGTTGGATGGATGGATGGATGGATGGAATGTTGGATGGATGGATGATGGATGGATGGAAAGTTGGATGGATGGATGGATGGAATGTTGGATGGATGGATGGATGGATGGAATGTTGGACAGATGGATGGATGGATGGATGGATGGATGAAATGTTGGATGGATGGATGGATGGATGGATGGATGGATGGATGGAATGTTGGATGGATGGATGGATGGAATGTTGGATGGATGGATGGAATGTTGGATGGATGGATGGATGGATGGATGGAATGTTGGCTGGCTGGCTGGCTGGATGGATGGATGGAATGTTGGATGGATGGATGGATGGATGGATGGATGGATGGATGGAATGTTGGATGGATGGATGGAATGTTGGATGGATGGATGGGTGGGTGGATGGATGGATGAGTGGATGGATGGATGGGTGGATGGATGGATGGGTGGATGGATGGAATGTTGGATGGATGGATGGATGGATGGATGGATGGATGGACGGATGGATGGGTGGATGGATGGGTGGATGGATGGAATGTTGGATGGATGGATGGATGGATGGATGGATGGATGGATGGAATGTTGGATGGATGGATGGATGGAATGTTGGATGAATGGATGGAATGTTGGATGGATGGATGGAATGTTGGATGGATGGATGGATGGATGGATGGAATGTTGGATGGATGGATGGATGGATGGATGGGTGGATGGATGGATGGATGGGTGGATGGATGGATGGGTGGATGGATGGGTGGATGGATGGATGGATGGATGGATGGGTGGATGGGTGGATGGATGGATGGATGGATGGAATGTTGGATGGATGGATGGATGGATGGATGGATGGATGGATGGAATATTGGATGGATGGACAGATGGATGGATGGATGGATGGATGGATGGAATGTTGGATGGATGGATGGATGGATGGATGGATGGATGGATGGATGGATGGAATATTGGATGGATGGACAGATGGATGGATGGATGGATGGATGATGGGTGAGCAAATGCATGCATGGATGACTGGGTAGATGGATGGATGAGCGGATGGACAGATGGATGTGTGATAGATTATGGAAGGGTGGATGAATAGATGGGCACACGGATGGATGAGCAAGTATATGAATGAGTAGATGAGCGTTCGGATGAATGAATGGTTGAACAGACAAATGGATGAGTAAATGCACGGAAGGATGGATGGTGAATGGAGAACGGGTGAGTCAATGAATGGATAGGTACATGGATGGAAGGGTTGGTAGGTGGATGGATGGACAGGTGGAGGGACAGACCATGGGCAGGCAGAAGGATGGGTATGCGGACGCATGCATGCATGGATATATAGATGCCTTAATGGATGGGTGATTTATGGACAGACGGACACGTGAATGAGTAGATGATGTTTGGATGCATGAATGAGTGCCTGCATACCCCTGGAAGGGTGCTGGGCGGAGAAGAATCTCACCCATCACCCCTCCACTTCCATGAATGGAAATAATCTAAACTGGTATCCAAGACCCAGAAATGCCCCCCTTGCTCCATAAGAATGTCTCCACATCCAAATTCCCCAAGGTTTTCTCATTTCCTGAGTTTCCACCTGATAGGGTGGACAGGGCCTGGCCAGGCCCGAGTCTCAAGCTGTTGAGACAAAATCCTGAGTCTTCCTGGAGGAACATCTCTGAAAAGCACTGCCAGCCAAATCCGTGGGCAGAGCTGAGAGCTGAGGAAGGCTCCTGGGCGTCGCCGAGCCCTGTTGGTGGCACTCTCCTGCCAAGGCGTCACAGCAGGTGCCCAGGTGGCGCTCAGGTGTGGAGGCCACACTCCCACCGCCTCCTCCGGGGTCTGCAGTGGCTTCTGCACAGGGGACGTTTGTGCAAGTCGTCTGCAGGTGCACTTCCTCCACCTGCAGCCCCCGCGTGGGTGCCCGCTGCCAGGGGGCAGAAGGTGGCCATCCGTGCAGCCCACAGCCGGCTGGCTGCAGGGATCCGAGATTTTCACCTGCGCTAGCGCGCCCAAGACCTGTGCACATTTGCGCGTGCGTGCGTGTACACACCTGTACATGCGTGGGCGGAGGGCAAACTCGGAAACAGCCTCCCCCGTGGGGTCCGCTCTTTGCTGACATTCTCTAAGTGAATCAGATGGGATTTTCTCTTGCAGGAGACGCTGGGCCAATAAAAGTCATCGACAGGAGTCCCCGGGACCAGGAGATCTATCGGCGGACACTGAGAGAACTGCCCAGGTGACCTGCTGCCTTGCTTCCTCCTCTCTACACCCCTGGCCTCTGCTCCCGTGGGCCAACTCCCCTTTTCCTCATCTACCCTCTATGCCAGTGCAGGGGGGAACCCTTGCCTAGCGATTCTCATAAAGTGCTCCCAGGCCTGGGACATGATATAACGGCTAGGGCAGTTGCACACGATTAATCCAGGTTCAATCCCCAGCACCCCATCAGAAACCACTGGAGTGATCCCTGAGTGCAGAGCCCAGAATAAACCCCGAACACCGCAGCGTGTAGCCCCCAAACAAAACATGCTTCCAACACGCTTTGTTGGGGGTCAGAGGCACCCGAGTCAAGGCTCTGTGCAGCTCCGGCTTCAGCCAGACAGAGCCCAGGCCCTCTGCACAGATGCGCGCCTCTGAGGAAGCCCAGCAGGGGGAGGGCTGGATGCAGGCGTCTCTGCCTGGCCGTGGGAGGTCAGAGGACCGGCCACACCCAGCTGAGCTTGCTGCTGAGTCCAAACCCCCTCCCGGCCTGTCCGAGTCAGCGGGGTGGGGCCATCGTCCACTCTGCTGAGTGTGCTCCGGAGCACTCTGGGGATATTGGGGTGCCCACGGGATGGGGGTGGAGAGGGTGTCAGAGGCCAAGGGACCCTGGGGAAGGGGGTCCTGATCTCCCTCCATGCCCTGCACAAAGCACCCGGGCAAACCTACACCGGGGAAGGCTCAGTTCTGCCCACTCCAAGTGACACCCCAGAGCAGACCACCAGTGCCCACCACACAGGCTCCCTCTCATTCCCCCAGCAAGTCCTCGCCACGCTGTGCCTGCCGGAAGCTTCCGTTTTCCATCCCCGTTTTCAGATCGGAGCCAGCGTGGCTCAGAGAGGTGTAGCCAAGAGCCCCAGGCCATACAGCAAAGGAGACACAGCCAGGGTCGGGGGAGCAGGGGTCGGGGTGAGCTGTGCCATACCCCGGAATGAGGGGATTCCGTTGTGTTTTTTGTAGAGGAGCACCATGGAGGGCGACTGTCTGAGCTGCATGAAGTACCTGATGTTTGTTTTCAATTTCTTCATATTTGTGAGTATTTGTGGGACCCGCCCGGCGACTCCCTGAGGCTCTGGGGGGCTGGGGAGCGCAGAACTGAGCCCAGTGTCTCAGGGCCAGAGAGGTAGTACAGTGGGTAGGGCACTCACCTGGCATGCAGCGCACCCAGGCTCAATCCCCGGCATCCCATAGGGTCCTCTGAGCACCGCCAGGAGTGACCCTGAGAGCAGAGCCAGGAGGCAGCCCTGAGCGCCGCCAGGTGTAGCTCAGAAATGAAATACTTCTTCATCGCACCCCCACCTCTTACCCCAGCTTCTAGAACCCTCCCTGCCACACCAGAGCTCCCCACTGTGCCCAGTGCCCCCACTCTGTTCGTTCTCAAGTCCTCGATGCCCCAGGTCTGCCCATCTGCACACCACGCTGGGCTAGGCCAGGCGCCCTGCACAGCAGCCTCTGTGCATGGTTGTGTCCTAGACCAGGGGCTGGGGTGGGGGTGGGGGCGGGGAAGGTACCAGCCAAGACGCCGATGGGACCGAGAGAAGAGCCAGGGACAGTCCCTGAGCCCCACCAGGTGTGACCCCCCCCCGCCCCAGTAACACATAAAAATCAATAAACTGGGAAAAAAATTGTTTGTTTGTGGGAGCCACACCTGGCGGTGCTCAGGGCTGACTCCTGGCTCTGCACTCAATGATCACTCCTGGCTGTGCTCAGGGGACTCTATGGGATGCCAGGATTTGAATCTAGGTCAGTGGCCTACAAGGAACACCCCCTCCCCACTGTACTATAGCGCCAATCTCAAACATATGTGTGTGTGTGTGTGTGTGTTTGTGTATTTTTTCCTTTTAATAAAATCCCACATTCAGGGGCTGAAACAATAGTACAGCGGGTAGGGTGTTTGCCTTGCATGCAGCTAACCCAGGTTCGATTCCCAGAATCCCATATGGTCCCCTGAGCACCACCAGGAGTAATTCCTGAGTGCATGAGCCAGGAGTAACCCCTAAGCATCTCTGGGTGTGACCCAAAAAGAAAAAAAATTGAAAAAAGAATTGAAGATGTGGGCTCTACCCTCCAAGGGGGTTGGGGGTCAGGGATTGGGTCAAAGGTTGTAGATCAAAGACAAGGTCAAGATGAGGTCACTAAGGCTGGGACAGCGATTCTTGCAGCCAGTGGGGTCAGTTCCTGCCATACTGGGTCAGCTGTGCCGCTGGCTTAGGACCCGGGCACGTGGCTGGGCTGTTACAGGGTGTCTAACCCCATTTGTCCCTTTCTCTGTCCTGTTCCATCTTCACCGGCCTGGGGCGCAGCTCGGAGGGGCCTGCCTGCTGGGCCTGGGCATCTGGGTCCTGGTGGACCCCACCGGCTTCCGGGAGATTGTGGCTGCCAACCCCCTGCTCGTCACGGGCGCCTACATCCTGCTGGCCATGGGCGCGCTCCTCTTCCTGCTGGGCTTCGTGGGCTGCTGTGGGGCCGTCCGCGAGAACAAGTGTCTGCTGCTGTTTGTAAGTAGCCCCTGCCCCCACCCAGGGCTTCGGGCACGGGCGTGGGGTGAGGGGGCTGGGCATGTGCATGCAGGGGCAGTGGAGCCCAGCAGGCCGGCCTGCGGGACAAGGAAGGCCACGGCGTCTGGAACGCTGTCCCAGCTTTAGTGACCTCATTTTGACCTGGTCTCTGATCTACAACCTTTGACCCGATCCCAGAACCCCAACCCCCTTGGGGGCTAGAGCCCACATCTTCAAAATTTTTTACAATTTTTTTTCCTTTTGGGTCATACCCAGAGATTCTCAGGGGTTACTCCTGGCTCTGCACTCAGGAATTACTCCTGGTGGTGCTCGGGGACCATATGGGATGCTGGGAATCGAACCCAGGTCGGCCACGTGCAAGGCAGCCCGGGGCCCAGGTGGAACAGTCAGCAACTCTCCAGAAATGGAGGTCGTTGGCCCAGAGACTTTTTTATTTGGTTTAAGAACTGAAGCCCGGCAAGCTTCGGAGAGCCCGGCAAGCTACCGAGAGTATTCGATATGCCAGACACAGTAACAACAAAGTCTCCAATGGAGACGTTACTGGGCCCGCTCGAGCAAATCGACGATCAACGGGAGGGCCTTTACCTTTACCTTTTAAGAACTGCAGTGTGAGGACCAGAGCAAGCGGACACTTGCTTGAACACGGCTAACCTGGTTTCTATCCCCGGCATCCCATAAGGTCCTCTGAGCATACCAGGAATGATTCCTGAGTGCAGAGCCAGTACTGATCTCTGAGCACAGCCAGGTGTGGTCCCCAAACAAAAGCAAACCAAAAAAGAACCGCAGTGTCTCAGGGCCAGAGAGGTAGTACAGTGGGTAGGGCACTTACCCTGCATGCAGCCAACCCAGACTCGATTCCCGGCACCACATAAGGGGGCCTCAAGCCCTGCCAGGAGTGATCCCTGGGCACAGAGCCAGGAGTAAGCCCTGAGCACAGCCAGGTGTGGCCCCAACAGTCCCCTAGATAAAACGATTGAAGAGCTTCAGCATCTTGGGGCCTGAGATATAGCATGGGGGGAGGGGGGGAAACGCCACTGCCCAGATTTGATCTCTGGTACTGCCTGTGCTTCCCTGAGCACCCCTGGGAGTGAACCCTGAGCAATGCAGGTTCCAACTCCTCCTACCAAAAAGAGAGTTGGGGAGATAACACAGGGTTCAGGCCTTTGCTTGCATCTCACCAAGCCCGGTTCCAACCTCCGACACCACCTAGGGTCCCCCAAGCTCCATCAACAGTCATGCTAGAGCACAGAGCCTTGGGAACAGCCTCCGAGCGCCAACAGGTGTGGCCCAAACCCTCACCCCGCAAACATCATCATCAGCAACAGTAGTTTTAAATGACTCCGATCAGTTTTAAACAACTCGTGAGATTTCACTCCTTAATAACATGGCTTCAAGAGCAGCCTTGGTGTTTCTGTTTGCAAACCAGGAATGATGTGGATGTGATTTCTGTCGTTCTGTTTTGATATCTGGGCCACACCCGGCGGTGTTCAGGGCTTACTAAGGAATCCCTCCTAGGGCTCGGGGTGGGGGGCCATGTGGGGTGCTGGGGATCAAACCCAGGTGGGCTGCGTGCCAGGCCAGAGCCCAGTACCCGCTGTGCTGTTGGATGATGGTCTCTGGAGGGTCTCTGCTCTTTGGTCCACAGTCCAACTCTGCTCCCTGCCCCAAATCTGCAAGGCAAAGGCCACGCCAAGCGCTAGGCATGGCCAGCCCCACCCCCACGGGCGGCCTGTGTGATGTGTCACATGGCTGAGCATGAGCTGGGAGTCTGGATTTGAAGGTGCCCCCAGCTAACCCCGTGAGCCCCCACAAGCCCTGTGGGCAGCTTCCACCAGCTCTATGAGCTGATTAGCCAGGGACCAGGTTGGAGTCCCACTAAAGCAGCCCCTATCCTCTGCTCTGGGGCAGGGGCTGGTTTCTCCGTAATGTCTCTGGCCTGGATGTAGGGGGGGGGTCTTCTATCCTCCAGGAGGTCCTGTAATCTTGGGGGGCTGGCAGAATTCAGGGTTGTCGATGTGGCAAGTGAAAAACAAACCGTCCAGCTTGGAGAAGCCTGGTTGTGGTGGTCAGTAGGCAGGCCCTCCCATGGGCAGTGGGCCTGGGTCGGGGTGGGGGAGTGTTAAGACAGAGGGAAGCCAGATTGTCCATCTGAAAATTTCCCGCAAGGAGTCTGTCTCTGGTCCCGAGTAAGAGAGACATCCCAGGTCCCAGAGAGAAAATGAAATTAGGCAGGAAGTGCCCAGGAGAGCCACTGATGTCTAGAAAGCCGGCGGGCGCCCCCTGGTGCACAGCTCTGGGCAGTGCCCAGAGGGGGTCTGGGATAACCCTCTGGACTGGGAAAAGGAGCTGGACATTGGACCCCCACATACCGGACCTCTCTGCCCCTCCTCCTCTTTCACACCCCAGCCCCAGGCTTAGCCGTGGTTAATGGGATCATGGCCGGAAGCCAGGCTTGGGGCTGGGAGCTGGCTGGCCCCGCACACCCAATCCGGACTGCCTCTGGATCCGGATAGGGCTGTCCCCAGTGCTTGAGGGAGAAGACCACCGAGGCCAGGGATGAGCCCAGCTTAGACTTTCCTGAGGGAGGGGAGGTGTCCCACCCGCGTGTGGCCCCTCCAGACCCCCTCCTGCCTTCTCTCCCAGTTGTTCCCTGCTCTCCGCCTCACTCCCGTTCTTTCTCTGCCTTGCTGCCCTGCTGTCTCTGCCTCGCTCTTCATCCCTGATTCCCGTTCCTTTCTCCGCCCTCACCTGAGCACCTTCCCCTCTGCCTCTCCCTGCCTTCTCGCTCTGCGTCCCCACATCCCTCCCCTTCTCCCCCTCCCTCCACCCCCTTCTCTGAGCCCAGCACTATGAAAAGCCTGTGGTCAGGAAGGGTCACATAGGGGCACTTGGACTGGGTCCTTTGTTCCTGGGATTGGAGCTGGCCCAGCATCCCTCCCCCAAACTGGACCCAAACCCTCTAAACACACCTTAAACGCCAGCCTGGTTGCAGTGGGTCATGCTGGGGCCCGCATGTGTGTCTGTGTGTATATGTGTGCGTATGCATGTGTGTGGGTATATATGTGTGTGTCTGTGTATATGTGTGTCTGTGTATATGTGTCACGTGTGTCTGTATATGTGTGCATGTGTGTGTCTGTATGTATATATGTGTATGTGTGCATGTGTGGGGGTGTATTATGTGTAGATATGTGTGTGTCTATGTATGTGTGCATATGTGTGTGTCTGTGCGTATATGTGCATGTGTGTCTGTGTATAGTGTGCATGTGAGTGTCTGTGTATACGTGCATGTGTGTCGGTATATGAGTGCATGTGGGTATATGTCCGCATATGTGTGCCTGTGTGTATATGTGTATGCGTGTGTGTGTGTCCTTGTGTATATGTGTGATGAGCGTGTATGTGTGCATGTGTATTTCTGGAGGAAACCTCCATAGCTGAGAGGGTTTCAAAGGTTCCTGGTGTGAAATAAGAGTGGCCCCTCTGTCTGACTCCCAGGACCCCTCCGTGGTGCAGGACCCGGTAGTAACTAGGGTTCCCTCCCCTCATTCTGGCAGAAAGGAGAGATGGAGGGAAGCAGGATGGTTTTGAGCCTTTCAGAAACCCCGACTCTGAGGAGATAGAGTTCTACGGAGGGGTTCAGCTCAATACCCCGTTCCCTCAGGGGGGCTCTGAGGCTGAGCCCAGGCTCAGAGACAGTGCTCTCCCTCCCCTTGTCAGGCTACCTAGAGGCCATTTTCCTCAAGACACATTCTCCCAGGGCCAGAGCAATAGTACAGCAGGTAGGGCGCTTACCTTGCATGCAGCCAACCCGGGTTTGATCCCCAGCATCCCATGTGGTCCCCTGAGCATCACCAGGAGTGATTCCTGAGCACAGAGCCAGGAGCACTTTTGGGTGTGCCCTCCCTCAAAAAAAAGATGCATTTTCCTGGCACCCCCATTAACTTCTTCCCAGACAAGAGGGCCCCTCCATGTTTCAGTGACTGTTAGTGGGGTCCCCATCTCACAGTTGCTGCCACGGAGTGGTTCTGGGGGGAGGATTCAATATTGAAAGATGCTAATTTTTTTAATGTTTATAGCAGGCGAGCTACATTGGAAAAAGAGAACAGCAAAGAGATGACTAAAATAGGGCGTAAGGTGAATTGCACCAGATTCACCTTTTGTAAATATTTCATTAGAAACGAGAACAAAAAAGCATCCACTAGGTTTGAAACCCAGAATTTCCTACCAGAGGCAGAATGTCCAGGCCCTCAGCAAAGTTGCAGGTTGCAGGGTTTTCTAGCTGCCGGGGGCTCAGGCACATGAGATGAGTCTTGAGCCCCTCCTCAAGGAGAACCAGCCCTGGGAAGGTCCAGCTCAGGAGACACCCCGGAAGCCTCACAGCCCAGGTGTCCAGATGGCAGGGGGACCCCACTCTGGGAGTAAACAATTTCATGCTGAAACAGGCAAGTGTGATGGGTGAGGGTCCACACGCCCCCACTTCCTCCGGAAAAACCTGCTTTCCTGAGCCCCTGAGTTCATTTCATGAGTCAGAAATCTGGTGAATGCCATGAGGCTGCAGGCTGTGTGTGTGTGTATGTGTGTGTGTGTGTGTGTGTGTGTGTGTGTGTGTGTGTGTGCGCGTGTGTGTGTCCTGGAGAACATGACTGAGAAGAAACGTGCTCAGCAGTGTGGCGGGGAGCAGAGAGGGGGCGCGAACACCCGCCTGCTTTCTAATCCTCCTCTACTACTTCCTGGCTTTGGGACCCCGCGGCTGGTGACTGAACCTCTCTGAGCCTCGGAATCCCTTTCTCCTATGGGGGTGAAAACCGTGCGAAAACCCACCTCCCACTTAGCTCAGTTCCTGGCACAGGCGAGCACATGATAAAGGAGCAACTCCGAGAACAGGCTGGGACATACAGACCCTCCCCGGGGCTCAGAGTTCAGAGTTCCAGAATAAAGTGTGCGTCAGGGGCTGAGTTCTGGCATCAGAATTCTTCGGGCTGGAGCACCAGAGCACCACCCCCATGCAGTGAGGAGGCACTGGGGTGTGGATGCTGACCGCTGGGCTCTGCCAAGCCGCAGAGGCCCCGTGGAATGATCTACGCAAGATCTGCATAGCCTCATGGGGGTGCGGGGGTAAGTGCTGGGTGGATGGGCCCAGGCTCCTTCTAGAACTCGCCAGCTCCACCTCTGAGCACCCCGGAACCCCGCCAAGCTTTGGCTCTCGGCCGCTGAGTCATCGTGGTTGCCGCTGGTTCCCTGAGCCGTGGGCAGTGCGAGCCTCATTCATAGTTTATGGCTGAGCCGCTCCAGCGCACGGACCATTTCCTCGCTGCCCGCTGCCAGCAGGAGGCCGGCCAGCGGGCATGCCCCCCGGAGCCGGATGGCCATCCGTCAGCAGCCAAATGGAAGTGCTAAGAGCCCCGCCAAGGGCCTCCATCACTGTCACCAGCATCTGAGCCACAGCAGATAGAGGGGGGCCCAGAACGCCAGGGTCACTGACACGGAGAGAAGGAGGACGCGTGGGCCCACTCTTCCAGCCCACGTCCTCCCCAGAACACCCTCCGCTCGCTTGTCTCTGCGTCTCTCTGCCTTTCCCACTCCGAGAGGCCTCTCTGGAACATGCATTTCCTCTTTCTCTGTCTCTGAAAAAGAATGAATCTTTCTAAGTTCTTTCCAGTATAAACTGTCTTGCTCCACGAAGGAAAAAGATGGGGGGAGGTCCCAGTTCTGACGCCTGCATAGAGGCCAGCTGGGACCTGATGAGCCCTGGGACATCCTGAGGGACAGTGGGTGGCAGGGATAGGGGAGCCGGAGGTGGCGACGGGAGATGGGATGCGGGGTGCAGAGGTGGCTCTGGGTGAGGGGCTGCTGTGCCCTGGGCTTGCTGGAGGACACCTTCACAGGTCACATCCTACCCAGACTTTCCAGGTCCCCCCCCTTCCCAAAGCACAACTGTTTCCAGAATCCTCCTCACTCTTCCCGGGGTGAGGACAGTGACCGAAACCTTGGGACAGGAAGAGATTGGGCTCCAGGATGGAGAGAAACTGAGGGCATTGACAGTGGTCATTGTGGAGTGTCTTCAAGAGCAGCTTCTGGAAACTTCCGGAATCAGGTTCCAGAAGCTTCTGGAATCAGAATCTGGGCCCTGATTTTCCATGGCAGCTCTGCAAGCCATCTAGATCATCTGGGTCTGGCACACTGCACTCACCACATTACTCCGAATCACTCAGAATGAGACAGGGCTGGACACGGGCACCAGCTCATAGAGCCAGGACCTTCTCCATCACCCAGGCCACTTCTGAAGACAGTGACCCAAGGGAGCGGGTCTCAGGCGCTCAGAGCCTGACTGCATAACCCTGAGATGAAAGGCATCATGATTGATTGGGGAGCGGGAGATTGGCATGCAGGAGACTCAGGTGGTCCCCCGTTGACCCTCCAGGGTTTCAGATACTGAAATTCCACCCTCTTCCTCCAGTCTTGCTCCTTTATGCCTCTGAGATCAAAGTGCTGCCCATTTCCCTGGAAATGAGACCATAGCACAGGCTCTGGGGGGCTCTGGATGAAAGGGACCCAGGATTTCTATTCTTCATGTTTTCTCCCCAGGAGGGTCTCCAAACAAGTTTCCAGAATGTTGGTCTCCTGGTAGGGCTGCCAGGGAGGGTTGCCCAGGTTGTCCACTGCATAAAGCCCTTCCCCCCACCCTCACCCTCCAAGGAGGCTGCTCACCTTGAAGACAGGATGTTGGTTTCTGTTTTCTGTGTTTCATGGTTTGGGGTTTGGTGGGGAAGGGTTGGCCACATCTAAGGGTGCTCAGGGGCTGCTCACAGCTCCGTGCTCCTGGTGGTACTCAGGAGACGAGCTTTGCAGGGGGATCAGCCCCGGACTCTGGTGAGCCACGTGTCCCCCTGAGCTCCCCAGCCCTGCTCTCCGTGTTTGTCTGGACCTTGCTGACCACGGCAGAGGTGGACTCCAGTGGGACTGATGGGGCAGCCCGTCTGGCTTGTGGCTGTCACATCAGCGTGTGACGGGTGGGAGGGCACAGCCGGGCTGCCTGGCCCCACGGACTCACAGCTGCTCCTTCTCTTGGCAGTTCTTCCTCTTCATCCTCATCATCTTCTTGGCGGAGCTGTCGGCTGCCATCCTGGCCTTCATCTTCAGGGAGAACGTAAGCCCCTGAACCAGCCCCCCTAGGGGCGTGGCTCCTCCTGTCCCCGCCTCTGAGGCAGCCCTGGGGCGTGGTCACCCCTGGCCCCTCCCCTCAGCCAACCCTGGGGGCGTGGCCCCTGGCCCCTCCCCCGAGGCAGCCCGGGGCGTGGCCACCCCTGCCCCCTCCCCTCAGCCACCCCTGGAGGCGTGGCCTCTGCTGGGCTCCTTTCCCTGGGTCACTGGGGTCGTGGCCACTCCTGGGGCTGTCCCCTCCTCAGACGGTATCTGGGGCAGCATTAGGGCCCCCCCAGCCAGCCCCCCACCATCCAGAGAGAGACCCACACTTAGGCTGCCGAGGGTGCCTGCGTTTCCAAAGCCTCTGGTGCCACCCCACACCAGCTTCTAGAACCTTCCTTCCTTCACCTTGCCAATCCAGAGGCCAGCAGTACCCATTGTTAGAGTCCAGAATCTGAGCCCCGCTCTGGAGGGGAACTTAGAGGGGTGCAAGGAGAGGAGCTCACTCAGACGGGGTCCCAGCTGGGCTTGTGTGTAGGGGGGTCGTTGGTTTGGTTTTGTTTTGGTTTTTGAGTTACTCTCCGTGGTGCTCAGGGGTTCCACCTGGCTCCGCACTCAGGCATTGCTCCTGGCGGTGCACAGGTGGACCATATGGGATGCAGGAGATGGAACCCAGGTGGGCAGTGTGCAAGGCAGACGCCCTACCTGCTGTACTGTCGCTCCAGCCCCCCAGCCTGGTCTTGATATGGATCCATGTAGCCCCCTGCCCCGGGCCCTTTTATCCCCTCCAGGGGGTTCCCACCATCCAGACCCAGCCCCTGCCCACCCCTCAATTAGAAGGGTGCGCGCAGACAAAGGAGGCCTGGGAACCCACAGGACCACCAGCTGGACCCATGGGGGGTTTAAGGGGACAGGCTGGAGGGAGGGACCTCACAGCTGGCCCTGGGCAACAAGGGTTATTAGGGACATGGGCAGAGACTGGGGAACCAGCCGGCTTCCTCTGCCCCGGCCCCCTGCTGTGGAGTTCCGGGGAGGCGAGGGTGCACCCCACGGGTGTCTTCAAGCCCAGGACCCCGGGAACCGGGTGGTGGGAGAGGCATCCCCAGGGTTGCCAAATTGATGAGAGGGTGCTGGCCTCGGGGTGAAAAGGCAGTGAGGGGTGTGCCCCCTGCTGGTACCGCGGGGTAATCCCAGCCCCCAAGCTGATGGACTGAGAAGCCAGGGTGTGGGGGGGGCTGCCCCTAGCTGCGACTGGGTCTCAGCCTGCCCTTCCTCTGCCCCCCAGCTCACGCGCGAATTCTTCACCAAGGAGCTCACCAAGCACTACCAGGGCAACAACGACACGGACGCCTTCTCTGCTACCTGGAACTCAGTCATGATCACCGTGAGTGGCCTCCCTCCTGGGGCCAGGGTCTGTGCGGGCCGGGCTGAGCCAGGATGCTGAGCCCACAGTTGACCCCCCAGCTGCTTGGCTCGTGGGACGCTAGTCACCCCTTGGGGAGATGTTGCGTTGCGGGTGGGGGAACACGGGCCTGGCTATGTGCGGCCCAGAGCTGAATCCCGGGTGCCACCACCGTCCCCCCATTCCTGCTGGGTGTGACTCTCGGGGCGGGGGGGGGGGGTGCTGCCAGGCCTGGCAGCACCAGGGTGGCCCATTTGAGAAAGAGAAACTAAGGAGAATCAGGCTGGAGGCTAGAGCAACATCACAGCATAGGGGGGAGGGCGTTTGCCTTGCATGCTGCAGGCCTGGGTTTGATCCCTGGCATCCTACAGAGTCACCTGAGCCCGGCCAGGAGTGATTCCTGAGTGCAGAGCCAGGAGTGAGCCCTGAGCACCGTGGGGTGTGCATGTATATATCAGGGCAAGGGTCAAGAGGTAGAACTAGATTAGGGTCCATTCCTGACCTGCATGGGAATCTGCTCCAATCCCCGGCAGCACATGGTCCCCCAGGCATCACTGGGTGTATCCTGGTGACCCCCGAGCATCACGGAGGTGGTCCTGGTGGCCCTCAGCACCTGAGGCCTGAGCATTGAACCATCGGCTTTATTGTGGGGATATCATCGGGACTGGCCCCCTGCTCCCCTGACCACCAAATCGTCAGGACCCTGGCTCCCACCCCGAGTAACCACAGCTGAGAGAGGCTAAGTGACTCCCGCGGGTGCACAGAGCAGAGGGTGACAGCAGGCCCGGCCCAGGGCCACCTCAAGGTGGCCTCAGAGAGGCCAAGAGTCCACCTGGCCCACCCCCAGACCACTTTCCCCGCTCTTCTCCTAGTTCGGCTGCTGTGGGGTGAACGGCCCCGAGGACTTCCGGTTTGCGCCTGTTTTCCGCCTCCTGACTTTGGACAGTGCCGAGGTGCCAGAGGCCTGCTGCCGGCGAGAGCCCCAGACACGGACTGGGATGATGCTGAGCCGGGAGGAGTGTCTGCAGGGCAGGGACCTGTTCCTCAACAAGCAGGTACCGCCCCTGCCCCTGGGTGCGGGAGCCAGGGGTGCGGGAGTCAGGGGTGTGTGTCGGTCTAAGGAGTTTGAAGGCTCCAGGGATCTCTGCCAGTGTGGACCAAGGCATGGGGCCCCATCAGCCCCTGAGACCCCAGAAGGGCAGAGGACGGAGGAGGGTGGCCAGTGGTCAGCGATGGCAGAAGACAGGGCTTTGGGCTGGGGTCCAGGAGGCAGTAGGACGCCCCCAGTGTTCCAGAGAACTCTCCTGGGTGTCCAGCCATGCAGCTCAGGGCCTTTCACACAGCAGGGCAGCCCCGTTCTGTTGTGTGACCAGTGAGGAGCACGTGGTGGCCCCACGGAGGTACCTTCAGATGCCGGGGATGGGGAGGGGGGGCTCAGGCGTCACCCAAGCCTTCATCCTGGTCCTGGAAGATGTGCTTTTCCTTCCTGTGAGGCACCTCTGTGAACCCCCATGCCCTCCGAGGAGGTCTCAGGACAGGGGACGCCGGGACCCAACCCAGTCCACTTTGGCCTTGAGAGCCTTTGGTGCCAGTGCCCAGTGGAGAGTCCCCAGGGGCTCATCCTTAGCAGATGAGGGGTGTCTACCGTCTGTGGGCCACCCCTTCCCTGGGCCCCCCAAAAGATGTCCAAGTCGGCTTCATGAGCAGAAAGAGACATGGACCCCCAGAGTAGAAGGGTGCATCTGTGTGGTGTGCATGGTGTGTTACATATGGGAGCATGTGTCCATATGAGGTGGTGGTGTCTCTGTGTCTGTGCATTCAGCGGTAGCACGTGTGCAGGTGTGCATTATCATGTGCGTATGTGTTTGAAGTGTCATGAGTCTTGTGTATACATGTGTGTGTCTATATGGTGTCCAGAGTATGTATGGCATATATATATATATATATTTGTGTGGCATGCATCATACATGCGCGTATGTTCCTATGGTATTTCTGGAGAGTGTATGCTGTAGGTATGCACACACCTCTGCATGTGTCTGTGTGTGATGTGTGGTATAGACACATGTGGCGGCACATACATGCGTGTGTGTGACAGTGTGTGCAGGCATACATGCATGGCTGTCTCTGTGTGTGCTAGCTGCACAGACCGGTGTATTCTGTGTGTATGCACGTTTGTGTATGTGATGTGTGCATACGTGCATGCCTGTGTGTGTGGTAGTGTGTCTGCAGGCATATCTGTGGTGGCATTGTGTATGCATGTGCGTGTGTGTTGGTGGGTGCGTGCCTGGCAGGTCTGCCTGGGGCCCCAGCATCACCTCTGACCAGAACAATTGCCCCTGGAGCCCATTCTGTGGATGGGGCCCCTGAGCAGCTCCCTGGGGCCCACAGCAGCCAGGCCCCGGACCCTTATGTGCTCCCCCACTCTCCCCAGTGGGGGCTCAGACGGGGTAGGGGGGACAGCCAAGGGCATGGTAAGTGTGGGTCCACCCACTGCCTTGCCCCCCAAAGCAGGCCACATTTTGTGGTCCTTGCTCTACACTTTGGGGCTCTGCCGAGCAGAGAGAGGGAGGAAGGGGGGCTCCCGGGGGGCTGTGTGCAGGCCTCCTGCCCACTCCTCGCCCAGCCGGTGCCCCCCGATGCCGCCTGATCCAGCCCCACCCCTCCCCCAGGGCTGCTACACCGTCATCCTCAACGCCTTTGAGACCTACGTCTACCTGGCCGGGGCCCTGGCCATCGGAGTGCTGGCCATCGAGGTGAGTGAAGGGCCCTCCCTGTGACTCCCCCGAAGCCAGGCACCCAGCCTTCCTCTGTCTCCACGTTTGTAACCGAGGACCCAGCTGGACCTCCCCACTTGGGGTCCGTCAGCTCCCCGAGACCCTGGCTGAACTCTGGACACACACGGAGCAAGGCTCCGGAACGGAAAGGCCTTAGACTAACTCCCCCACCTCCCATCCCCTCCCGCCTACCCAACACCCCAATACTGGACAGCACAGCCAGCCCAGAGGGTGTGCCTCTTCTAGATCAGACGCTTTTCCTGCGGGTACTGGGGAACTGTGAGGGCTGGTGGGCCTCCCAGGGCTAGGCTTAGCCCCTCCCGGAGGCTCTGGAACCCCACAAAAAGGTGGCCACTGCTTGGGTCTGGAGAGACAATACAGCCGATACAGGGGTCTGCACGCAGCCGACCTGGGCTCGATCCCCAGCATCCTATATGGGCCCATAAGCAGCGCCAGGAGTAATCCCTGAGAGCAGAACCAGGAATAACAACTTCCCCCCGCCCCCCCCCCCGCCCCCCCACACACACACTGCAAGCACCAAAAAGCAAATAAAAAAAGGAAATGAGAGTGACAGAGTTGCCACTAGGTGGCGCTGCAGCCCAAGGGCAGAGCTGCCCCCCCCCCCCCCAGGTCTCCCACACTCCTGGGGGTCTCTGCCCAGCTGCTTCTGGAGGGGACCCACAGCTTTGCCCAGCCAGACCCTCCCAGCCTGCAAGGAGATGGGGTGAGCAGGGAGGAAATTCCAGAGGACCCAGGGTGGGGACCACAGCCCCACCAAGGGCCACAGGATCCAGCCCTCGGGGAGCCAGATGGGGGTCCTCTGCCCCGCAGATACCCGGAAAGGATTCTGTGGTCTGCACTTGCCCGTGGTGTTCTGACCCCGGCAGCCAGCATCCGGGGGCATCCAGGAGGCAGGATCCCTGCCTGTCCCCGCTGCCCCAGGGCCCATGAACAGCCCCGAACTTTCCATTGAGCCACAGAGCTCCACGCGAGGGGCCTCTGGGTGCCGTTCCATCCTTGCCCCCCCCCCCAGGGACAGCCGGGCACCCAGCACAGCCTGTGGGTGCCAGCCCCGCCCCCACGGCAGGGCGAGCGGACAGGGGGCAGTGCAGGAGGGCAGTACGCCCGACCCGCCCCCCCGCCCCCTGCCCCTGACCGGCCCACCCTGGCTCTCTCCGCAGCTTCTCGCCATGATCTTCGCCATGTGCCTCTTCAGGGGCATCCAGTAGGGGCATGACCTGGAGATGCCGCAGGGCCCCCCACTTGGCACCCCTGCCCTCCCCGCACTGGGCGCCCAGCGGCCGCAGGGGGCCAGTGGGGAAGAGCTATTTTTGTACAAAACACAGTGAGGTCAAACATACCAGATTGATGTTCCCCCCACCCCTGCCTGGACTCTGGGCTGGGTTCCCTGCGGGGTGAGCCCTGCCCGCCAAATCCAGGATGCTGGACAGAGATTCCAGGAGCAACCCTGGGCACAACAGGAGGGTCTGGGCCACCAGGAGGCAAAAGGCAATGGTCAGAGAAAATCAGCAAGGTGGGCACCCCTGAACATGCAGTCCTGGCTCTCTGGAGGGCCCAGGCGGAGCCCTGGGGGTGCACCAGAAGTGAGTATGGACACTGGATCGATCCTCCACCATCGCCGGGACCCAGGCCCCGAGCCGGCACAGAGAGGGACAGCATCTCACCCACCGGACACACAGCCCATGCATGGACAAGAACCGGGTCATGTCCAGGACCGCCTGGCTGGGCGCTCTGTCTCTGCCGGCCACAGCAGCCTCCTCTCCCCAGAAGGAGGAGGGCAGGCTGGCCTGGAATCTCTCTTTCCTCTTCAGAAGAAAGTTCTACACTGTCCCCTCAGGCCTTCACATGCACCTCCCGCATTGCTGAGCCCCCAGGGACACACAGATGTACACACGCACTCACTTCCCGACTGCCCCCCATCCTGCTCTCACTAACCCCCAGGCACCCCAGGATCACCTGGCTGGCCCTCCTCTGCCAGGTCCTTGCCAAGGCTTCTCCATGCTCACCTTGCATACCCCCCGGGAACGGGGAGCTCACTACCTCCCGAGTCAGCCTCTGCCTTTGGCCTGCTCTGGCTGCAGCATCCGCATCCATAACACACAAAAGGGGGCGGGGGTTCTGCCTCCTGGGGCTGTGAGCGGGGGCACCCCACCATAATCTCTCTTCCCTGAAGTTTTCAAGGCCTCAGTATCTCCAGGCAGAGAGCTGGGGCGGCTCAGCAAAGCTGTTCTGGCTGGGTTGTGGCTGGCCTCTGCACAGTTCTAGAATGTTCCCTCCAGACGGGAGCAGGCCGAGATTTCCCCCCACAAAGGTCCTCATGCCCGCAACATCACCGGCAAAATAAATCCCCGGAGCGGTGCCCACCTCAAGTTCTGGAGCAGTTTTGGCTGCCGGAGGCCAGGCTGAAGGTGCAGGGGTGCGGCAAGGCTCAAGGGGAGAGGGCAGTGTGGGCCTGGCACGGGCATGGGCGTCCCGGGGGCAGCCTGCTGCCAGCTCGCCTCCCCTCTGCCTTGTCCTCCCGGGGCCTGGGAGGACCCCATTTCGTCCCACAGGGTTCTGTGCCTGCACCTGGCTTCAGCAGAGATGTGGCCTGAACCCCAGGGACCCTCCCCCCAATCTCTCCTCCCCTGCGCCCGCCCGTGCTACCCCCTGTCCCTGCTGAGCCGCCGAGCTCTGTGCCTGCTGTAAGGATTCAGGCTCAGTCTCCTCCCCTCCCCCCTGCGGTCCCCACCGACTGCCACCCTCCCTCCAAAGTCTCCTAGTGGGGGCGTGAGGGGGGGACGGTTGGAGCGATAGGACAGCAGGTAGGGCACTGTTTGCCTTGCACGCAGCTGCTCTAGGTTCGATCCCCGGCAACCCATATGGTCGTCCCCCCTCCCCACAAGCCCCAGCACCACCAGGACTGACTCCTGAGTGCAGAGCCACGAGTAAGCCCTGAGCATCGCGCCAGGTGTTTCTGCCCGCTTCCAACGGGACCTTTCCAATTTGTCCCCGTTTCTATCTGCCCAGCAGTCCCGTCACCATGCCCTGAGCTCTCTGGTGCCCGTGCCCTGTGGGGGCAGCCCCTGCAGACCCTCCAGGAGGCCTTGCCCCGGCCCCCTGTGACACACCCGGCCAGAGAAGCCATCATGTCTGTCTGAGTCAAGCTGGGCGAGTTGGTCTCCTGCCTGGGGGGTATCCTGGGCTCTGGGCTCCATGTAATGTGTGTCTGTCCATTCCACCCCCCCACCCCACACACACACACTGCCCAGAGGAAGGCATGAACACATCCTGGGCCCCAACATGTGTGGCAGGAAGGGCAGGTCTCAGGGGAACGCTCTGGGCCGGGGGGTGGGGGGGGGGGAGTTGAAACAGATACAAGGGCTGTCCACACCCGCCCACTGCCCGCCTGCCCATGCTGGGTGGATAGTCATCTCTGCTGAGAACATCCACCCAGTTCAGTGTCAGGCTGCCCGAAACAAGTTCTGGAGGATGGAGGAGGTGGGGGGGGGGGCAAGAAAGAGGAACAGCGGAACCCATGCCCCCCATGGCTTCAGTGCCCAGAGGCAGTTCCTCACTGGTGCTAGAGGCAGCCAGGGACAAGGAGGCGAGAAGTCTCTGCTGAACTGTCCTGACCCCCTGCCCACTGAGGGCACCAGGGCACCCTGCCAGCCCCGCCTTCAGCATGGAAAAGGGGACCCCTCCCCCACGGCTCAGGGCTGGGTCCCCTCCTTGGCTTCCTGTCCGCTCCGCTCCATAGTCACAGGGCCCCCCGGCACGCCACCTCCCCAGACGCCCCCCTTTTTCTCGCCCTCCTAACGTTGAAAGTCTATTTTGAGAGCTGTCCAGGGCTCTTGCCTAGATAGCAGAGCTAATTTATCACCTTGATTTCCCACGAGCCCCCCACCCACCCCTTTTATATTATGTATCAAGAGTTTTGTAATATAAAACAGGATGTCCACACGGATGGTTTCGCACTGGTTTTTGTGACCGTTTCTTACAAAAGAGGGGGGGGGGAATAAGGAATAAATAGTGATATGAAGAGAGGGGTGGTCTTGATTCGGAGGTGGAGGAGGGGAGATGGGCCGGCAAGCTGGAGGGGCCGTGCTGGGACCTTTGGGTGGGTGGGTGGGTCGGCAGGCCTCGAGGGCTTTTGTCACGGGAACTGAGGGCATCTCTGTCTCACCTGGACAGGATTTCACCCACCCCGCTGGGCCCAGGCTGCTGGTACCCCCATTCCCTTCCCGTCTCCCCGTGGGCGTCCAGCCTCTGCCCAGTGCCTTCGGGAGGAAGCGTTCAGGTCCATCAGCCGCCTAAGGTCCTGGGGCGCAGGTTGAAGGGAGCTGCAGCCTGGCGGGGACACTAACCAGGCCTTCAACACCATCCCTCATGGCAACAGGTGGGACTGTGGGGAGCGGGACCCCCTTCCGTGGCCAGAGAGGGGTGTGCTGGGCCAGCCTGAGCGTTGGGGGTCTCTTCTCTGAGCTATGTCCGGTGCTTGCCTAAGCATGTGGTTATGGGGCGGCCCCCACAGCCTGTCTCCTCCAGCCTCATCCTGCCCAGGGCATGGGGCGGCTTCCAGAGGCTGGGGGCCAGCTGACAGGACAGGTCCCTGGGAGGGCACCAGGGGCCACCCCAAGGCCTGGGCAGGGCATGAAAGGCAGCTGCCACCTGCTACAGTCTTGACTCCCAGTCTCTCCCTTCCTGGGCTGGATGGGTGCCTGGTCCTACTCAGCCCAGCCCCAGGCCTTGGGGACCACCCGGCTGCAGGTTCAGGGGGCAGTGCGGGGATGGGGTGGTGAGGAGGCTGGGCTACATGGGCATCGGACCGGCAGGCCTGCCAAAGGACAGGAAAACGTGCCCTGTTCTTGCTTCCTCATCTCCAACCCCCCGCCACACTCTGCCCTTAGTTAACTGTGTTCATGAGTAAGGGCTGGCAGCTCTGAAGGGGAGGGGAGGAGAGGGGAGGGAGGTCCTGGGACATCCACGAACTGGGCGCTGGGTTATTACCAAGAGCAAGACCGCCGGAAGGGGGTCAAGGCAGGGCAGGGCCAGTCACCCGCCTCCCAGGAAAGCTGCCAATCACGGGCCAGCTCTAACTCAGCCCCCAGGAAAACTGCCAATCACGGGACGGCTCCAACCCAGGAAGGCTGCCAATCACGGGCCAGCTCCCACCCAGACCCCGTGAAAGCTGCCAATCAGGGGCCAGCTCCAACCCAGCCCCCAGGAAAACGGCCAATCAGGGGTCAGCTCTAACCCAGCCTCCAGGAAAGCTGCCAATCACCGGTCAGCTCTTAACTCAGCCTCCAGGAAAACTGCCAATCACGGGCCAGCTCCAACCCAGCCCCCAGGAAGGCTGCCAATCATGGGCCTCTCCAACCCAGCCCAGGCTGGACTGCAGAGAAGGGAATGGGGGTGTATCTAAGGGACCCCCATCTCGGGAGAAGGCCCACGGAGACTAGCAGGGGCGGAGGGTCAAGTTGTCAGGGTTTCCAGCACAGACAAAAGCCAAGGTCAGCAGCTCGGCATGAGGCGGGCTGGGGTGGAGACGCAGGGGGAGGCAGTCTCGCCTCTGGGGAGAGGGGGGTCCTCTCGGCCCGCTGCAGTGTGTCCAAGACACCCCACAAAAGGCAGCTTCACAGCCGACAGCCTGGGGTGAAGAATGGAGGGTGGAGGTCCCCACCTGCCCCCACCCCCACCAGCTCTCCAATCTGAAACCCAGGAGGTGGGGGCATGGGGAGTGCCTGGTGGGGAGCCCCCCCACTCAGGGGTGCGACCCCTCCTGCCTTCCAGGAACCAAAGGGAAAGCGAGGCTCAGGCCGGGCCTCTAGACTTTCTTGGGCTTCCGGCCCACTTGGTAGTAGTAGTACACGCTGATGGCCACGAAGAGGAGGCGGCTGGCCAGGAGCAGCAGGACGCCCAGGGACACCAGGCCCGTCTCGGCCAGCGTGGCGGTGACCACTGTGGGAGAGGCGGGGGGGGGGGGGGGCTGCGGTCAGAGGAACACCAACACCTCCCAAATCTCCGTGTGGACAGGACCAGGGGGCTGGGTTGGGAAGGACAGGACTGGCCATCGGGAGGCTGCATGATTCAGGGGACATGCATGAGTGATTGTGTATGAACATGCGTGCCTACATAGGACGTGCATGCGTGGGAGGCTGTGTGTGTGCGGACATGCGTGTGTGCATGGGGATGTGCATGCGTGAGGAGGCTGCATGCTTGTGTGCAGAATGTGGGCTTACATGGGACGTGCGTGCATGGGGAGGTTGCATGTATGTGTGTGTGGACATGCATGCATGCCTGGGAACATGAGTGCATGGGGAAGCTGTGTGCGTGTTTGCTGAATGCGTAAGTGCATGGGACATGTATGCATGGGAGGTGGTGTGCATGTTTGCTGAATGTGTGCATATATGGGACACACATGCATGGGGAGGCTGTGTGTGTGTTTGCTGAATGCGTGCGTACATGGGACATGCATGCATGGGGAGACTGTGCGTGTTTGCTCAATGCATGCGTACATGGGACATGGATGCATGGGGAGGCTGTGTGCGTGTTTGCTAAATGCATGCGTACATGGGACATGCATGCATGGGGAGGCTGTGTGCATGTTTGCTAAACGCGTGCGTACATGGGACATGTGTGTGTGGGAGCCTGTGTGCGTGTCTGCTGAATGCACGCGTACATGAGGCATGCATGTGTGGGGAGGGACAAACCGGCTTGCATGAGAACTGTGCGTGCGTATGTAGGGACGCGCATGCGTGTGGAGGCTGGTGCGTGCAGGGAGACACAGGCGTGGTGAGGTGTGAGCACACGGTGTAGCACACACAGCAGGCCCCAGCTCCCGAGTGCCACCCCCGACAGACCTCCCTCCCACCCAGCCTCCCGTGCCCGGCTTGCACCCCAGCACGCACCCAAGAACTGGACGGTGAAGTAGCAGGCTTCCGTGAGCAGACTCCAGCGGATGATCACCTTCTCGGCCGTGTAGAGCGCGTTCCACATGATCAGGGAGATGCCTAGAGCGGGGAGAGGGGACAGGGCAGCTGGGCAAACCCCCCGCTCCCCAGGGCGCTTGGCAGAGAGGCCTGGACTGGCCTGATCCTGGACCGACCCCGGACTCAGCCACCCTTGAGTCTCTGTCCCCTCTCCCTCAGGACCCAGTCCTCTCTCTTGGAACTTTCCAGAACTGATCTCGCCACCAGCAGTCTCGGTCAGGCTCTGGCATTTGGCGGCATGGATGAGTCCGTGGGCAAACTGTTTCCTGTCCCAAGCAGACTCCCGGGGATAAGAGCTGGAGCCAGGAGGAAACCCCCACAAAATTCAGAGGTGGGCCAGCGGGGCGCCGGCCATCTGGTCTGAGTGGGAGAAACACCAGCTCGCCTCTCTGGTCCCCTGCTTCCTCAGGGCGGCTGGCCCTGGGGGCCAGAGGGGCCCTTCTTCATGTCCACAGCCCTAACACCCACCCAAATGCTGCATCAACCCACCTGTGTCCACCAACACCATCCTCCCCCTCTCTCCCACAGACAGTGTGCAGTGGGAGAATGGGGACACAGTGACCAGAGGCCTCTGGGCTGGCAGCTGGGCATCGGGGCCGTGGCCAAGGTGGGGTGTGGAGGTGGTCTGGGAAGAGGGGCACCCCATAGAGAACCCCGAGTGCTGGGGGGGCGCTTGAGCTTGGGACTGCAGCATCAGGAGCCCCGGGGTGCTGGGGCAAGATGGAGGGTCCCCCAGGAGCTAGTTCTCAAAGCAGGGCTAACGGTCCCCACCAGGCACTGATGCCTGTCCACGTCAGAGCCAACAGAAGTGGTTCTACTGAAAAACTCAGGAGTGGGACACGCACACACACGACACTGTCGGTGTAGACACCCCCTTTAGGGCAGGAAGTCCTGAATGACGCAGCTGAATCTCATTCATCTCTGTGAACCCCAATAACCGGGTTGGTCCCAGGTGACACAGACGAGCTCCCCCACTTGGTGCATCCCACTAATGACCACCAGATGGCAGCACACACACAGTTAGCAGCGTGGGCTCAGTCTGGGAAAAGGTGATAGGGGGGTGCAAGGAGGAAGCCCCTGATGACCGCCCCCACCCCCAGCTGCCCAGCTGCCGCCTGGACACTCACTGAGGAGGGCGCCTCCATAGAGGCGGATGGGTGTCTTGCTGGTCACCTGGACTCCATCGAAGACAGCATCGTAGAGCTGATCAGGGACAGCGAGAGCCTGTGGGCCAGGGGGAGGCTTCAGAAGGAGAGTCCGGGTCCTTCCTGCCCCCAAGAGCACGGCTGGGCACCCGAAGACTCACCCTCCCCATCCATGCCAGGACATAAGTTTTGCGGGTTTTCAGGAGCAAGGAGTGGGGATCAGGGGCCAGAGCTACACAGGGATTGGGGTGCAGCCACGGGGCAAAAAGGGGTACCCCCGATCCCACCCACCCACCCCAGAGAAGCAGACCCAGGGCTGGGGTTCTGGGGTGCAGAGCTCACCATGATGGCGATGCCAGAGAAGAGCACAGCAGACACGAACTGCCAGACCCTGGGAGACCAAGGTGGGGGGGGGGGGGTGGCGGGGGGAGGTTAGGCCAGAACCCTCACTGCATCCCCCACCCCACCCTAGGTCCCAGGCGGGACCCTCTCCTACCCAGCCCGGATGTCCAGGGTCGGGTTGGGTTGGCTGGCTGGGGGGCAGGGACACTGCTCTTCCCCAAAATACTGACCCCTCCCCCATCCCACACACATACAATCACTGACACACACCCCCACACACACCATCACTCATACACACCATCGCTCATACACACACACACACACACACACACACACCCCATCACTGACACACACAGGTAAGCACTCACCTGAGCCCTAAAGGCTCCCGAACAGCAAACTTGATTTCGTTGCCCAAGACCTGGCTGATCTGCGCAGACAGAGGGGAGAGGGCCGTTCTCAGCAGTCCCCCCCGCCCCACACACACACACACACTCCCAGGGACCCCCCTGCCCCACATTGCTGAATCCTAGTCACCAAGGCTGGGACAGTTTCAGCCCCCCGGGGGTGCCGGGCTCAGGGGTGGCTGCAGATTCCTTGCCTGGGAGGCGCCACCCTCCCCCCCACCCTCCCCCAGGGCGAGCTGGCGGACTAAATCAGGCTCCTAAAGCGGCAGTGATTGCAGTATTGGGCACATAATAAGCGCTCAATTAATTCTAATGAGCCGCGTTCACTTTTGTTATTATTCCCCTGCTGTCTCCACCGAGACTCTGGGGGGTGGGGTGGGGGGTGACGGAAATAAACGCGATTTGCTGGGGCGCCCCCCCCCCCCCCACTCCCAGCAGCGGAGGCTCACCCGCCCAGGACAGCCCCTCCCAGCCGCGCCCCGCCCCCCACCTTGGAGCGGTGCACCTCCCCGTCGTCGTCCTCCCCGCCCACGCCCAGGATCTTGCGGGTCTTCAGGCGGCTCACTAGGTCCGTCTGGCTGTGCTTCTTCATGAGAGGGGGCGGCTGCTTGGCTGCCATCGTGGAAACCCGGAGCCCAGGCTCTGCAGGGGTGGGGAGGGGAGAGGGAGCCCTCAGGCCTGGAGGGACCCCACAGCCTCCAGGGCTAGGGGGCGGGAGGGGCAGCCCCGCAGGCTGGGGATGATGCGAGGGTGGGTGCTTCCCTGCCTAGCGAGCCTCAGCTTCCTCATCTGCAAAATGGGTTGGCAGAGCACCCCCCGAAGGCCCTGCCAGTCCACCCGTCTGGCTTGAGTGGACATGGCACCCGCTGGTGACCAGGCCGGGGAGGGGGGTCCCTGAGGAGCGAGAGTGGGGCTAGGCTGGCCAAGGGTTTATGGAGGGACCAGGTCCAAGCCCAAGCCTGGGGAAGAACTGACTTCTGCGGCCCGGGTCTGGCCCCTACTGCCTGAACATGACCAGACACACCCCCCACACACAGCAACCCCCTGCCCCAACCTTCCCCAAACCCACCAGGGCCCGAGAGCCCGGGTGGCCTGGGGACAGGGGCACCGAACCCCCCCTCCCAGGAGTGTGGCCCCTCCCTGCCCTCACACCCACGGCCTCTCCCCCACCCCATGTCTGCCCGCCATCGCCAACCCAACAACACCTGGGCAGGGGCTGGGCACTGCGCTGGTGACGGGAAGCAGAGATGAGCCGCACCTGGCCGCACCGTCGGTCAGCAGGTCACCTGTGGGCAGACAGAAACAGCCTGCTGAAGCTTCTGTGGAAGCTTCTGGAAGCTGGCCTGGGGGCTCCTGCAACTGCAACACAGCGGGCATGATGGATCCTCACTCTACGGATGAGGGCACAAGCACACACTCATACAGATGCACACTCATACACACTCATTCACACACACTCATACACGTGCACACACTCATACACACTCATATACACACACTCATACACTCATACACAGATGCACACTCACACGCACACACTCACACACACATACACATCCATAAATACACATGCACACACTTATTCACAGTCACACACACCCAGACACATGCACACACTCATATACACACATACACCCACACATACACTCACACACACCCAGACACCCATAAACATGCACACTCACACACCCATACACATGCACACACTCATTCACACACACCCAGACACATGCACACACTCATACACACACATACACCCACACATACACTCACACACACCCAGACACCCATAAACATGCACACTCACACACCCATACACATGCACACACTCATACACACACACGTACACAGATGCACACTCACACGCACACACTCATACACACATACACATCCATAAATACACATGCACACACTTATTCACACTCACACACACCCAGACACATGCACACACTCATATACACACATACACCCACACATACACTCACACACACCCAGACACCCATAAACATGCACACTCACACACCCATACACATGCACACACACACACGCGTACACAGATGCACACTCACACGCACACACTCATACACACATACACATCCATAAATACACATGCACACACTTATTCACACTCACACACACCCAGACACATGCACACACTCATATACACACATACACCCACACACACCCAGACACCCATAAACATGCACACTCACACACCCATACACATGCACACACTCATACACACACGCATACACAGATGCACACTCACACGCACACACTCATACACACACATACACATCCATAGACACACATGCACACACTCATACACACCCTCATACAGATGCACACTCATACACATTCACACACCCATACACATGCGCACACACTCGTATACACATACACACTCATACACACATACAGATGCACTCACACGTACACACTCATACACACTCACACACTTACGCATACTCAAACACACACCCATATACATGCACCCATACACACACACTCATACTCTCATACACATGCACACTCATACACACACCCATACATACACGCACACACTCATACACACATGCACTCATACACACGCACACACTCATACACATACACGCTCACACATACATACACATGCACACACTCATACATACACGCACATTCATACACACATGCACACTCATACATGCTCGCACACATACACGCATGCACGTACTCAACACATGTACACACTCATTCACTCATATACATTCACTCACACATTCACACGTTCACTCACACACACACGAACACACACACATACATACACCCCTGGACATGGGAATGCAGGAGGAAGCAGGGGACATGGGAATGCAGGAGGAAGCAGGGGACATGGGAATGCAGGAGGAAGCACCGCGGGAGTGTCCCCGTACCCCGCCCAGTCACTGCGCACGAACCCAGGCAGAGGCGCTCATCTGGGGCCCTTCAAGATGCCAGGCAGGCCTGAGAGCCCAGTGCATCCCTTTCCCCCCAACCTCCCCTATTCTTAACCACCGTATCCCCAAATCGAGCCTCTTCTGCTTGGCTTGATGAGGTCTGCCCACCCCAGACCATCTCTGCTGGCCCCTCTGTAGGGACAGCCACTGTCCCCGGTTTCACCGGGTCCGGACAGCCTCAGAGCAGAGGCCGTTTGAGACCAGCCCTTTCCTGCGAGTCCCGGGGTATCCAGACCCCCGAGGCTGCAGTGGGCTCATGTTCACAAGCCCGGCAGCCACATCCCCCATCCCTGGGGCTTCTGCCCAGGCCCCAGGCTGAACCTCCACACCTGGGGAAGCCCAGGGGTCCTCCAAGCAGGGGTCTGGAAGTGGGGGAGTTTCCGGCCAAGGGCGCCCACTGCAGGAAAGCAGAGAGCAGCGTGTCCATTCCCGTGCTGGCAGGCATGCAGCAACGGACACTCAGCGCCCTGCGCCCACCTCCCTGCCTACGGGCGCATTCCCAGGGCAGCACCCATACTAAGTCCAGAGATGGACAAGGCCGAGACTAGGTCTGACGGCCCCAAGCCAGCTGTGGACGGGGTGCAGAGTTGCGGGGTGCTGGGGAGTTGGCGGAGACTCTCAGCCCACACTCAGGGAATGCAAGGCCATGTTTCACGGAAGCACCCGGAGTGGCCTGGAGGGACCAGATCTGAGGGGTGGGGGGGAGTGTGCTGTGGGGAGGGGAGTATGGCCTGGGGGGAGGGACAGAACTCAAGGCTCAGAGGCGCTGGGACGAGGGTCCCTGAGATCAAGGCTAGACCCTGGGAGCAGAAGGCTGGGGGGGGGGTGTCCTGCTGGCCGAGGGCAGGCTCTGTGTGTGTGTGTGGGGGGGTCCCATTGACCTTGAGAGCAGTGTCTACTAGTGACCCCACTGTCAGGTGGAGCCCAGGACCTGGTGTCCCCCGGGTGTCCCCAACAGTCTTGACAGCAGAGGGCATTGGGGTTGGGAAGGGTTTCCGGCCAGTGGCCGCTCTGAGCTGGGGGTCCTGAGAGCCTAGACCTCAGGCCATGGGATGGGGTTGGAGGCTCTGCCCCGTGCAGGGAGCCCGGTCAGACCTCTCAGCCCGGCCTGCACCCACAGTCTGGGCCTCACGGGTGCCCAGAGGCCAGAGAAAAGGGTCACATTGGGGGTGCTGGTGTTAGGAAGGGCGAGTTACACGGAGCCACCGGGCAGCCTGGGACTCGGCCCTCAGGGCCCACCCTGTGCATGTGCTCCCCGCACTCAGCCTCCAGCCCGCAGCGGGCACCGAGGAGTCAGGGAGGGCCCAGGACGGCGCCTGGCCGGTGCCCAGGGGCAGTGGCGCAGGACAGCCCTGTACACAGCACAGCTGCAATCTGGATTTCAGGCAGGTCCCGAGGGACCCCTCCCACCCCCACCCCTCGGGTTCCCGGGGAGCCTCCATGGAAATGAAGGACCCACGAGCTGCCCCCACAGGGAGACGACGGTGCCTCTGGCAGGGGAGGAGGCCCCGAGCCCAGCTCCCCGCCCCACCCCGCTGCTGATTGTGGGAGGTCGGTCACGGCTGCTCTCCTCCCACCCGCCACAGTGGGGACTTGGGGGCCTCTTGGTCTTCCAGGAACTGTCCCAGTGGCATCCCCGGGTTGGAAGTGAGGTGTGGGACTCCCTGCCAGGATGGCTGGAGGAACATTCTCCCATTTCACGGATGAGGAAACAAAGGCCACGGAGGCAGAACAGAAAGACAAATCGAATTAGAACCACACAGTTCTAACTCGGGATTAAAGCCTGACGAACATGTTCCAGCCTGTGAAACGGTCTCCGGCCCTGCCTCTCCTCCCCCTGAATGGTTTACTAGAGAAGGGGGTGGGGGTTCGTGTGTGTGTGTGTGTGTGTGTGTGTGTGCGTGCGTGCGTGCGCATGCAAAAGGCTGTTTAAAGCCTGACCCAGCAAGTGTGAACTCCAGACTCTCTCCCGGGGGAGTCCCTGGCCGCTGGCCAGCCTCTGGACCCCTCCCTGGGCTCCGGCCTCCCTTAGGTTAAAGCCCTGAGACTTGGCGGGACCAGGGAAGGGCCGAGGGAGCCCCATTGTTCTGTTATCACGTTGGTACAAAATAGCTGGAAGCCGGTGTTACTGTGTGTGGTGTGGGGGCTGGTTCTGGAGGCAGGGGGCAGGGAGAGACGGACCAGAGAACCCCAGACGTCCAGAGCAGCTAGGAAGAAGGGTGTGTGCCAGAGAGGGCCCGTGGGGTTACTCAGCCCAGGGTTCTCTTCCGGGGCGGCCTCTGGAGCAAGATGAGGTCTGACCCACCCCCCACACACACGCCCCCCCAACCTCTTAGCCCACCTGTCAGGGCCTGCAGGCAGGGTGAGGAGCACCTCAAGCTCCCGGAAGAGGTTTGGGGATGGAACCAAAGGATTCTGCACGTGGACAGGCTGCAGAGGGCATTACTCAGTTAGGGGGAAGCTGAGTGTGGGGGCAAGGGGTACACTGGCTTGGGGAGCTCCCCGGGTCAGCCAGGAGAGGCTGCCAAGTGGGGGCCTCCTTTCAGAGCATCCCTCAAGAGCAAGTGTGATTATCCTAAAGGCCAGGCCGGGCGGGCCGCGCCTGGTCAGCCACAGGGGACAGGGGCAGGGGGCACCATCCACGCCACCCTCAGTGTCTGCATCTGCTGGTAGACGCAGCCCAGCTGCTGCAAAGGGCAGCAAGGACGACAAAGAACAGGACTGGTGGGGTTGTCCAGAGGCGGGAGGCGGTCCCCTCCCCGAAGCTCCGCAGTCCAGAAAAGGGCTTCATCATCCCGTTTCCAAGAACCTGCAGGAACACGGGCAGGCAGCAGAGACTTAGCACGCAGGCTGGAAACAGCCAAGTGAGCACTGAGTCACAGGCTGAGAGGGAGAGGGGAGGTCACGGCCCCGGTTGACATCTGGGCCGAGCCCGGCTCCCACGGGGGCACTTGGATCCTCTTCGGGAAACAAGCCGGAGCTTTGGGCTGGGGCCCCACTGGGCTGCCCGGGGATGTTTGGGATTTGGCTTCCAGCCCTGCCACACTCTAGCGACCCGGCAGGGTGGACGGTGCCCTCTCAGCACCAGGGGTCCCAGCCCCAGCCCCTCTTGCCTTGCTGCCACTTGTTCACTGTCATCTGAAGGTGTCAACTTCCAGAAAAAGCCCAGGAGAGAAGGGACTCTTGGTTACAAATAGCCCCAAGTTTCGAAGACAAAACAAAAACACAGCAGCGAGAGAGAG